CACCTGGCGATGTGTAATTTGTCTGGAGCAAGTCGTCTAGCTTTACTAGAAACTGGTGGTCCACTAGTAGTTTTTATATGATGCTCAGTTTTAAATTCATTGGAACACTGAGCACTACCCGGCTGGGTAATAGTATGAAATTTTTGTAGAAGTTTGATATAGATGGAATCAGCTTCCGGTTGGGGCGCTTTTATTGAAACAACATCATTAATAATTATTTTTGCAACAGTTGAAATGCCTGTAAGCTCGTCAGTTATGCGTTTTCTTTTAAAATCAACAAACAGACCGAAGTGGCTGTGGAGGTCAGCTCCAATGATGGGACGAGTGACATCAGCAATGACAAAACGGCATGGGAGATCTCTACGGAGTCCGAGGTCGAGTATTAGCATTATGGTACCATACGTGCAGATTGGGGTACCATTGACGGCGAACAACTGATATGAAAGCGGTGCCGTTTGCTTATTGGTGTGTTTGCTCGGGTAGACAGTAATGTCGGAGCCAGTATCAATAAGAAATTTGTCACCTGTTGTCTGGTCTGTGACAAATAAACGGCAGGAGGTTGAAAAATTAGAGCCGTTTCCCGCCTTCAGCGACTCTCTCAGGAGTTTTCCGTGAATTTACCACCAGATAACTTACAACCAGGGAGACATTTTCGAGCTTGTGCTTGGAATTTGGTATGGTACCAACAAAAACCTGTTTTATTTGAAACCTTCTTAGTCACTGGTCTACTTTTTGAGCGGCTTAGGTTGCGACTAGGAGTTCGTGAACGAGATCTGGACTGCATGTTTGCCATTGCAGTAGTCAATGCTGCAACATGTTTAGTGAGATCTGCGAGGTCTTGTTGCAACGGTTGTGATATAGCTCCAATACCTTGAGAATGGTAGACCTCATGAAGCTTACCTGCATACTCGGCGAGGTCGGTTATTCCGGCGTTTTTGTGAATTACAAGGCATGCTCGCGCCTGTTGTGGCAGATGAGAAATCCACCGCGTTTTTAATACTTCCTCGTTAATATCGGGAACTAGCGCTTTTAAGTGCAGCAAGTGTTGCGACGGAGTGCGATCACCTAAACTTTCTTTGTCCAAGAGTTGCAATAGCTTTGCCTCCTTGGATTTAGAAAAACGAACGATTAACGTGTTTTTTAGTTGTTCGTACGGATTTTCAATTGGTGGTTGGATGATGATGTCTTCTACCTCCGATGCGGATCGCGTATCGATAAGTGGGATTGTCTGGTAAAATTTGTCTCGCTCAGTCAAAATCCCGTGATTAACAAACTGTGCTTCGAGTTGGGCGAACCAGAGTGATGGTTTTTCAGTGCTGAAAGGGGGCGCTTTGACGCTGTAAGTATTGATTTGCAGCATTGTGTTGACTAGCGGCTTAGTTGGAGGAGAATCGACAGGCATTGAAAAAAGATGACACTGTTTGAGGTAACGCCATAAGCTTTTGAAGACGTCTCGCTTCCACAAACGCAGACCAGTGAGGCTTCGTATTAGTTCTTAGCAGATCACTTTAAAGTCACTGTAATCGCGTGATTAGCAACGCGCCGATGATACTATTGCGGTATTTGTCACGCACGAATGAAAAATCAGGCGTTACTACCGTTTGATTGCCCTCAAAAATGTTATTATAGAAACAATATACTGAGCGAGCAAAGTTCGAAAAACGGCAAAAACTCGTGATTTGTGGACGCTGCGGAGTTTTCTAGCACTGCGGGATTCTCGAACACGTGTATGGTTATATAAGCGTTGAATCAAATTTTATGCACCATGCCCGAGTCTTAAGATATTTAAATTGCAACTTGCTATTTTTACGCAGATTAGCACTCTCCACCGGCAAAATGAATTTATATCGAAAGTTTGCGTAATTTTCCACCGACACGCGTTTAATACAAAATTGTTTAGTATGTAGTATGCATAAGAAAATGCCAGTAATTATTCACGTCGGTATTGTCAACGGTTTAGCAGCACTTATGGGCACGTCTAGCGTCGGACGTCGGGGTCACCAATGTAGTGATCTTACAAATTAATGTATCACTAACTATTTTATATATCAAGTGTTCTTTATTGAAATATACTAAATCTACTGTACAAAGTTTAAATTAAAGCTA